TAAAATAATTTCCATAATAAAATAATATTTATACATATTAAATTCAATTCTAAGCTTAATCAAATGAATTTTAATGTTTTTTATCAGTAATTAAAGAAATGTTTACTTGTTAAAATTAATGTACATATGTACATTTTGTTTATATATTATTATTTTTTAGACCATCTTTATACACTTTTTGCAAAGCTATGCTGTAAATAATTTTTGTAAAATTACTTTATAATTATTCTAAATAGTTAAATGAAAGCCCAATTATCTTAAATAGTAATTATGACTACATAAATATGTATATGAGAGATAGAGAAAGAGAGAGTGTGTGAATAATTCGACTATTAATATCAGACGTATTATTAAAATTAATTTAAATTAAACTGTGGTAATCCAAGATGACAAACCCTCTACGGCGTACGCACAAACATATACAAATAGAGCTGCTAGAATTACGCTACACCTCTGCGCTCTGCCTGTCCGCATAAACGCGCAATTATGCTAATGGCTGCTGCCCACGAGAACGATAACAACTACTCGAGCGAGCCCCCTGCTAATAGAGAGTAGCCAGTGGCAGAGTCAACCCACTCAGACTCAGACTCAGACACTCAGCCGGTCGACATCATCAGCGTCACTTTTTAGGGGGCTTCGAGCTGCGAGGCAGCGAAGCAGCACTCTCTGTTGGACGGCGGACGATGAAGTCATTGGGGCGTTATATCGCATTGCAGTGCTCCATTTGATTTGATTGCTTTTAAGTGGTTCGTTTACTTTTGTGCCGCTTGCAGTGAGGACAGCGTCGCCATGGTGAAGATTTTGCAGGCCTACAACTTTGCCAAGCAGCAGACATATGCTCTAAACGGCGACATTCTGGCAGCCACCTTAATTGGCAACAATCGCATAGCCATCAGCAGTGCCGAGCAGTTTATCGAGATCTATGACATTGGTGGTAAGCAGCAGCCGCAGCAGCAGCAGCAGCCACAGCAGCAGTCAGAGCAGCAGGAATATGGCACGCAGGAGGATCAAACAGCAGTGGGAGATGCAACTTCGCCCACGCCAGCGATTGATGAACGTATGCCATTTCGGTATACCTTGGCCACAGTTGGCGAGGTGGTGCAGCTCATCTATTGCGAGGCTGGTGAGTGAGGCCTTTACATAATATATATCATCCATTTATATCACATATTCCCTTCCATTCTAGGCAAGTACCTGCTCACCCTGGAGAAGGAGCAAGCTGGCAGTCCTGTGCACTCAAATAGCACCAGCATAAGCTGCACTTCGAGCAGCAATAGCAACACGGTTTGCTCTGAGGACGATACGAAAATGTTTGTGCGCATCTATGCGAACTTCTGGAAGTTCCCAGACGCCAAGCTGAATGAGCTGCCCATCACAATACGCATTGCCTCGATGACAACGCCCAAGACGCCGCTGATCGAGAGTATCGATGTGATTGAGCTGCCGCTGCGCAGTCCGCCAGATTTGGTGCAGAGCTGTCAGACGTCCGGCAACATAATCGTGAGCAGCAAGGATCGCATCTATCTGTACGAGTATACGCAGTGCGTGCACGAGAATACCCAGCCGAGGTTCTCGTTCATCGATTTTCTGCCCTTCAAGTTCTTCGTACAGCTGAACTTTGTGCCGTTGCGCCTGTGCCTGGCCGAGAATGTCATCGCCTGTCTGAATCATCGCTATTGCGTGGCCTTCAAGGTGGTCGATGCACTGGCCAACAAGGCGTCCACAGCTGCTGGCGCTGCTGGCGCTGCTGGGCATGAGCACAGCTGCCTGGACAATGATTATGCGGGCGACGAGCCCCTGTCCGAGTCGCTCAGCTTGGGCAGCAAGGCGAGCGCAGCGGCGGTCAGCAGCACGCACAGCCAGCAGAGCTGCGAGAGTGATTCCCTGCAATCGTCCAGCAGCGCCAAGCCAGTGCTGATAAGCGGACCGGGCTTGGTTGGACGCACGCCTCTCGATTTCAATGTGGCGCGACTGGTAAACACGGCCTATGGACGCGAATTCGAGCCTGAGCTGCGCTCCCAGTGGGATCAGTGCGAGAATGGCAACAATCGCTGCGGCGGCACGGAAGATAACTCGCAAGAGATAACCATAACGCCACAGCGCGCCTCGGACATTAAAATCAAGCTTATCAACGAGGCGAAGGCCATGAATGTGAGAGGCATCGGCGCGGGCGGCAACAGTGTGACGGAGGACGTGTCGGTGCAGTATGATATACGGAAACTGCTGCAGATATGCATGAGGACATCGGATCCGCAGTCACGCGTCTTGGATATACTGAGATGCATGGACCTGAAGGCCATCTATCAGCGCAACAACGAACAGCAGCCGGATGAGGACGACGAATACGACATGGGCAACCAGCAGGTGCCCAGTGCCGTGACCACATTCAAGCATGCCAATCGCCGGACTCTGAAGTCCTCGCAGCACCAGCGCTGTGTGGGCCATGCGCTGCTCGTGGCCAGCAGCGTGGACGGCTATCTGTATCAGTTCTGTGCGCAGGGCAAGTGGTACAGCGAGAACGAGAAGCCGGTGGCCAGCTACAGCTTTACGGCGCCTGTGCTGCAGGTGCACGTGAACGACTATGTTATCTTTGCCGTCACCTCGGAGTCTGTGGAAACGCATACTTCGCGCATCGGCCACAAGCTCTTCCACAATCGTTTCGAGTATCCGAGCATCGGAGGACTTTTTCCCGAGGAGTCCTCGCCGGACGTAAGCTCACCCATTGCTGTTATCGGCCTGGCCGCCTTTATGCATGTGCAATTCGTGTGCGTCAATCGGGAGCAGTTGGTGCTGATCACAAATACTGCGCTGGAGCAGCACAAGCGTCGCAGCACCGGCGAGGTTGTCCCGGTGGCTGTCAAACGGAACATTGCAGCTAGATTCCTGGCAGAGGCCAAGGCCAAGCACAACAGCTTGCTGAGGAGCAGCAGCACCGCCGCCCAGTCCTCGGTGGTGAACGAGTGGACGCTCTACAATCTGGAGGTGCCCAAGGTGGAGCACATTATAGAGGATCTCGAGGGCATAGCCGAGTCGTATCGCAGCGCAAGCAGCTCGAATTTCTACGATCTAATGGAAGAGGCGCATATTATGCTCCGATTGAGCTTGACCCTGCAGGGCGAGCGCTTGAGTGTGGAGAGGGAACAGGAGCTGCGTAAGATGTTCGTGGCTAATTGTAGAAAGTTGGCTGACTTTTCCATACGGTAATATAGAATTGCATATATATAGAGCCATATTAATGTTTCCTTAATTCACAACTGCAGCTCCAATAAGCAGGAAGTCTACTTGCAAGCCACGGGCTTCTACAAGATGTGTCAACTGCAATTGGTGGATATCTACAACAACTACATAGCCGAGTTCATGGACAACGAGCAGGCGGTGGAGACATCGCAGCTGGCTGGCCTCATCTATACCGTAAAACTGTTTCTGCTCAGCCTGGGCACGGATCGGCTGAGGTCTTCGTTTCTGCATCAAACTGTATCGCCATATTTCACGCCTGCTCGCGTGCTGCAGCAGGGCTACAAACAAGTTCCCCTCTCCTTGGAATTTCTCAATATGTTCATCAAACATGCGCCCGCTGATATACCGGCGATAATGCTCAGCTCCCCAGTGGTGGCCGATGCCATGAGCGGCGAGCTGATCAATTATCTCAAGTACTTGACGACGCTGTAAGTGGGCATATGCACAAGTAATTAAAGTTGGAATATAATTGAATCGAATTTGCAGCACACCCGACGAGAATCTGCTGCTGGCTGTCACAGCTTGTCGCATGTCGAACTATCTGCTCGCCCAGGAAGTGATTGCCAAGTCCACGCGTCGCACGCTAGCTGTGGCGCTGATCAAGCATAAGAATGTGCTCTTTGATGACAGCACTGTGCTTTATCAGCGTCGGCAGCAGCCGGAGCCCCAGTCGCAGTCGCTGTCGCTGAATGCCGCTCGTCAGCGCTCTCGTCGGGGCGCAACAACGAAGGGCAAGTCTTCGGGTGGCTGCGCATCGACGCCGACGCCCAGTGCCATAATTTCCTTTTCGGATTTCTGTGAGACCATTCTGCTGGCGACCGAGCAGCCCGCTCTGATTGAGGCCATTAGCGATGCCTTCATACATGCTCTGTGCATGGAGCACAGCCTAACGCTGGACGTGGTGCTGCAGCTGTTTCTCAACTACATCGCCTCGCACATTGGCCAGAAGGGCTATCAGACGTCGCAGAAGGTGTTCGTGAACATCTTGCAAGTGTATTACTATGATCATTACGACGTGAGCTCGTCGCTCCAGCCGCACGAAGTGCGCTCGCAGACGCCGCCTCAGCTGGACGACGACTACGATGATGAGTGCAGCAGCTCGAGAGCGCTCTCTCTGCACAGCGAGGCCGATGTGCAATCGCTGTCCAGTTCGTGTGCCAGCTCGGCGCCCGATGAGCGCTCGATCAGCGGCCGACAGCAGCGCATTGTATACGATCAGCTGCAGGATCAGCAGGGCGGCTCCCCATTTCAAAAGCGCAGCTCAAATGCTTCGTTGTCTCAGCTGCAGCCAGACGGCGATGCGGCTGCCACTAATCTGAAAGGTCTCAAAATACTCTTTCGCATGTTCATGGGCCGCTTGAAGGCTCTGAGTGATCTCATTACTGACCTGCAGTCTGCTGATGTGGAGCAGCAGAGCAGCCGCGAGGATTTCTTAAATCTGCGCATGGAGTGCATTGCATACATGGTCGGCATGGCTCCGAACTATTGCAGCAAGCCAAGCGTACGGCCAGCCAATGATCCACTATCGAACAAGCTGATATTTGTGCCCTATATACCCGATTACAAGCTGCCGGAGGGCGAGGAGTTCGAGCAGCACATCAAATCCTACATTCGACCCATTCCGTGCTTGTTGGAGCGTCCGCAGTACTTGAATCGCTTGCCGCCCTTTGAGCGCAGCGACTTTAGCTACCCCAAGAAGGACGAGGGCGAGTTCGAGGTGCGCTTTACGGGCTGGCACAATGAGCTCCTGACTCTGACTCTCAAGATTCAGAGTCTGCTGGCCTCCAGCAAGGTGGATCGGGAAATCATATCCGAGTTCTTGGCATTCATACAGAAATCGCCGAATCTGATAGGCATCGATAGCTTCTTGGTTATAATATTGCCGAAGAATCTGGCTATCAATTATATGCTGAGCTTCTGCCCCGCCTACTTGTGGCAATATGGCAAGGTAAGAAATGTGCAAAAGTATATAAAAATTGTAGTCAATTGTTAATTTGTTGTTTCGCCCACAGTCGTGTGGATTTACGCCTAAGCATTGGGAGTCGCTGCTGCGCAAGATTCTTAGTAAACAAGAATCGCTGCCCAATTGGAAATCACATATTGCAGGTATTTGTTGCCTTATTATTGTATAAATTGAATTACTAATATATTTGACTTGATCCACAGAAATACTAAATAACCTCGTAGCAGAGCTGAGCTTTGAGGAGCTACTGCAATGCTTTCCCAGCGAGGTCATCAAGAGCCGGAATACTGCACAATACTTTGCCAAGGAATTTGCTGAAACTTGCGTTTTGTACGAGCACGAGCAATTGGTATTTCAGAGGCCTGAGAAGCCGGCGGACAGCAGAGATCACTTGCCCATGGATAACATCGATGAGGATAATGTGTTCGAGCTGACGCTGCGCAAAGCCGTGGCCAAGCAACGCAGCATCGCGTTGCGCTCGATGATTGAGTCGACGGGCACTCAGCTGTTCGATGCTACTAGTAATCCTATGTATAATCTATAAACTGTCTAGATTTAGTCTGGATGTGTCGGAGCATTCCCCTTTTAACTAGTTGGAAAATTATCATACTTGCAAATTTATAAGATTGATTGATATATAACTAGGAACATAGAGAAGCAAACAATAACATATAACATAGCACATATAACATATACACATATGAGAATAGTTTTTGTAGAGTCTCTCTATTATAATTAGTTCACATTTTGTTTGACACAAATGCAACATTTCGGACGGTATTTAAATCTGTGGATATAAGAATTGATTTACGACTAACTTTTGTAGGTTGTATATTGAAAGTAGGCACTCTTATGCAGTATTCGCTAGTGGCACGCCATATAAAACCAGTTAAAAGCCTGTTAAGTGCTTAGAAAAAATAAAATTAATATAAATTTATTTAAGCTGTTATTGAGAAGAAACTCTTGAGTTGATTGTTTGTTTTCCGGCACTTGCTTTATATACACTCTAAAATCTCAATTTGAGTACGCTTTAGTAATCTTAAATATGATATTTGTATTCTTAGCTAAACGGTCTCTCTATCTCATATATAAGACACACACACACATACAATACAAACAAACACACTCCAACATCAAGTGATATTTTTTAAATTCTTGCATAAAGTTTAACAATAAATATGAATTGTAAAATGAAAGAGCTTTTGCATTATTCTACTTTTATAACGCTGGCAAGTATATTGCATCAGTATTAAGCAGGAGTGTCTGAAATTAATTAAAAATAATAGTAAAAGCCATTAACTGTCAGCTATCAGTTATGAGATGCCCACCTCCAGGCCGGCTCAAATATTGGGCTGAGATGCTCAGCGAGGCGCTGAACGATTCAGTTGACTGAAGTCGCTTGCGAGCGAAGCATGGATAACTCGGCATATGAGGCGGAAGTTGGCGAAATCAAGGAAGATGCAACTGCTACACAGGACAGCCAACTGGAAGCAATAATCGTTAGGATTGGAGACTTTGGACGCTTTCAGATGCGCAACTATGTGCTGCTCTGCCTGCCCATCATTTGCAGCACCTTCCACTCATTGTCCTTTGTATTTACAGCCAGTACCGCGAGTTACAGGTATGTAGAGCGTGGCCAATTGAGATGAAATTAACGTGGAATCCGCTGCAGATGCTTCATTGGCGACTGCGACACTGAAAATAGTAGCTTCATAGAGCCTTGGCTAAATTTTACGATACCTAGGAGCGACGACGACTGGGATCAGTGCAATCAATATCAATCGATTGGAGTTGGCTGTGATGCGGATACTTTTAATAGCAGTCAAATAGTCAGCTGCGAATCGGGCTACAAATTGATGGATGATGATGGGAGCATAGCCACAGAGGTGAGTAGGTCGATAGGTCGAAATAAAAATCATTTAATAAAATAATAATAAACAATTTAAATTAAAATATACAAAACTTTGAAATTCAAACCATTTAATAAAATAATATATATTTATTAGTGTGAATTAATAAAAATGTGACTTATGCACAATTTTAGTTTTTAAACACTTTCACCCACAGTTTGGCATTTACTGCTCCAATCAATGGCAGCTTTCGATGGTGGGAACAGTCAGCTTTATTGCACATATCGTAGGCATGCCCATGGGCGGCTATTTTTCAGATCGGTAGGTTTCATCAATGCAATGTGAAAAGTACCTGCACTTAAGTTCCTTAATAGAATGCACAATAAATAAATAAAAAATCTAAAAAAAAAAAAATATAAAAAA